TGTAAAAGAAAGTGTTACCTTAATGATGTGGTTTTTATTATTTTTTATTTTGGTATGATTTTAGTGATTTACGGAGTTAGAAGAATTTTAAGGTTAAAATAAAGAAACGTAAACAGTCATTGAAGGTTATGGGTCTAAGACTGGAGGGGTCAATGAGGGCACAGATTGTTTATTACTGTAAAGCATTTTGAGCATCCTGGTTGGATAAAAAGGAGCTGTAGTCCATTTAGCATTTATGAAGTTGTTGGATTGAAGATGCCTTTTGATCAGAAAGCTATRAACACCCAAAGCTGTAAACATTTTTTAGAAAAAGAAAAACAAAGTTTTGAAAGGTGTGACATTCATGTTCAGCCTCCTGTACTTTCATAACTTTATATAAGTTCTKTGATTCTTTCATATTTTGGCTCACACCAAATGCTCAAACACACACAGGCGTAGTGAATACAGTCCATCTGTGTTTACCAAGGAACAACAGCAAACAGGCCAGGAAATCATCTGTTCAAAACACTTCAACAGATCTAAATTATTAAACAATATTTACAACKTTGAACAATCTCACAGACCTGTTTAATCTGTAATCTCTGTTAAATCCATCGTTTGACAACCAGAAGTGTGAAACACAGCAACAAACACACTCAGGCCACTCACCTGACCTGAGGCCAGGCAAGGACAGCTCTGCTCTGAGGCAGACAATGTGGAGGAGGTGCAGAAACTCAGCTCAGGTGAGACGATCTGTTCACAACACAACTATTTGTGTATTTCAGAAAGCCGTCATGAAAGATTGTGAAGAAAAGCAAAAACAATAATTTAAAAACAAACATTTTCAGTTTGCTATAAGCTACATGTGGAATGCAGAGATGTGTAATAATGATTCATTATAGGACTGAAGTATATGKTTGTGGATCTGTATGTTTACCAAGTATTTTTTAAATCATAACTTTTATTTTTTTGTTATATTCAATACAAATAAATTATACTTTTACTTATTTACTTTAAAATTTAACACATTTCAAATATTACCAGAACTCTTCATGAAAGGAGCTGTTTCTGTTCTCTAAGAGATTAAAATATTTTCTTTTAAACAATATGTTTAAAGTGCTCAGTTTACTCACCTTGTTTAGTGGAACCAGTTAACGTAACTTGGTAAAATAAATTCAACACTTCATTTTCTAGAGTGCAGTGTACAAATACTTTTACTTTTATTTTCCCGATTATTGTGAGCAGTTTTATGACTTTTACAAAAAAAAGTTTTTATCACTGAAATTTATTTTTACCAAAGTCATTTTCTGATAACGTATTTCTACTTTTACTTAATTATTTTTTTCAAATACTTTATAGAACTCTGATGGAATGCATCAAACGTGGGAGGARTAAAGCACGGTGGTGGCAGCATCATGCTGTGTTTCCTCAGCAGGGACAGGGAAGCTGCTCAGAGTTGATGGAAGATGGAGCTAAATACAGAAAAACCCAGGAAGAAAACCTGTTAGAGGCTCCGAAAGACTTCAGACTGATGTTCAGCTTCCAGCTGGACAACAACCCAAACCATCCAGTTTACATCCAGAGCTGCACTGGAATGGTTTGTGTTAAATCATATTCATGAGTTAGAGTGGCCCAGTAAAAGTCAAGACCTAAATCCAACAGAGAATCTGAGTCTAGACTAAAAATTGTTCTTCACAGATGTTCTCCGTCCAGTCTGACGGAGCTCGAGTTATTTGGCAAAACGAATGAGCAGAAATGTCTGTAGATGAGTTGGTGGAGACATCCTCCAAAACACTCGCTGCCTTATTTGTTTCTACCAC